CCCGGTCCCACCCCCTTCTTGATGCTCCACCTCACTGCCCCAGGCCCAAGTCTTCTTGGATGACAGTGGGCGTGGCCCAGGGTCCCCGGATCTTTGCTGCCCTCCTGTCGTCACGAGCCCCACCTCCCGTGGCCCTTCTCCGGGAGCCTCCCTGGGGGGAACTGAACCTGAGTGCACAGCTCCCCTCCCCCCAAGGCTGCCCTGACCCTGGCCCTGCTGCCTTGCACCTGCCACCCACAATCCCAGCAGCCAGCCTGGCAGCGGCCACCAGGGGGCAGCAGGGGGAGACTAGCTCCTGGGTGGGCTTCCCCCATCCTTGCCCCAGGCTGTCCTGTGGGGGAGCCCAGACAGCCCCTGAAAGTGGCTGCTCCCCGGGGCGGGGGGTTGGGGTGGGAAGCGGGTCTGGGGCGGTCACACCCGGGGCTGCTCACGCTCCCTAATGGGACGCAGCCTGTCTGAGCGCACCCACGAGGAGCTGCGTTGCCTTTGGGGTCTGCTGACCTTGTCCTGGGCTCCTCTGCTTCCCTCCTTGCTCTCTGGCCATGGGAGGCTCCCTCTGGCCCCCGTGTGGGCTCACACTGAAGAGCAGGGAGCAGAACTCGCACTCGGGGCGCTGGGGCTGACGGGAACGCCTTCTGCCCTGCTGGCTTCCGGAGAAGCCGCTCTCCCCGACGGTCCACTCTCTCTAGATCTTTCTTCCTGGTCATTAGGCCCCTTGGAGAGGGCAGTCCGGGGACCTGCTCGGGGCCAAGGTCTGGGTAGATCCCAGGTTCCAACGTAGAGCGTGGCTCCAGCTGACTGTCCCTGCTCTTGCCTGGTCACGCCCAGGGCCTGGCCAGATGGGCCTGCAGAGTGGACATCGCCCCGGGCTTCCCTGAGAAGGAGGGGTGTGGCTGGGGCGGGCCTGGGCACCGTGTGCACACCTGGCCCTGGAGCACCTGGCCCTGGGACTGGAGAGGGGCCCAGGAGCCTGGGTCAGGCCTGGCTGTGCCACTGGTCAAGTTGGCCCTGGGCCATCCGTCCCTCCCACCCTGGGGGACCTGGTATGTGGGAGTCAGAGCTGTGCCTGCGCAAGGGAGACCCAGGGAGGGCCCCCTGCTGACTTGTGCTTCACCCACAGCCCCGGCCACAGCCCCGACCCCAGCCCCCAGCTACGGAGGCCCCACAATCCCAGCGATGACCCTGCCAGCACACACCGGAGAGAAGCCCCCTGAGCCCAGCCCACACCCTCGGTAAGGGGCCCGCGTCTGGGTCTGTGCCTCCTGGGGGCTTCTCCTCTGGGTGGGTGTGGCTGTGTCTCCCTCCTCCCAGCCCTGCCTGTACTCATGGTCCCACGCCTCACTGAGAAGGTCCTAGTTGGGGCGGGACCTTCTTCTCAGCCTGGACCCAGGGTGAGCACGTGGACACGGTTCTCGCTCGGCCGGGAGGTCTGACCTGCGGGGTGGAGTCCCACGGGAATGAGCCGGGAGTTGTGGTGTCTGCTGACTGTCTGGAGAGACGGAGGCACTGAAGGTGGGGGCAGTGGGCGGGGTCTGCTGAGCTGCTGTTTTGCAGCCTCGGGGAGCACACGGGTCGTGTGAGTGACCTGCAGGGTCGGGGGTCAGGCACCCGGGGCGGGAGTCCCGGGCACCCCTGTGCAGGGAGTGCCAATGCCTTGCACAGGAGCCTTCAGGGCTGGCTGGGCTGCACAGGAGCAGCTGCTGTGGGGTGGGGGGCAGGGACCTGGGTGCTCTCTCCCCTCTGCTTCCCTCCGCCCCTCCACCTGGTCACCGGTGCCATCCTACTTTGACAACCCCACCTTCTGAGGCCCAGCAAACCCGAGCTGGGCCGTTCATCCCTCCTTCTCCAACCATCACGTGCCAGGCTTCCACTGCACATGCGCAGGGCAGGCCCTCGCTCCCTCCCTGAGCATAACGACACCAGCCCCTCCAACACGGGGAGTGCTGCCCTGGGAGGGGCAGACAGGAAACAAACAACACCTCGGCACTGACCGCTGCATCCCAGGAGGAGCGGGCCCCAAATGGGGCAGGCGGAGGGGGACTCCCTGGCTCAGGACTGCCCTGGAGCCCTGCCATGGCGTTGCCTTTCCTGACGTCCACCAGGCCGAAGTTCAAGGGCAAGTCTTCGGCTGGCAGTCAGAGGGCCCGGGTCCTTGGCTCAGGGCTGCCCTGTCCAGGTTTGGTCCTGTCCTGGAGTGTAGTGGACACAGGACCTGAGCCACAGGGACAGGAAGGAAGCACAGGGCAGCGGGGCCTCCCTGGGGCCAGGTGAGTCACTGTGTCACGGCGTCTCCTGCAGGTCCCTGCTCGGCAGCGTCCACGGCCTGCTGCTGGTCTTCCTGAAGCTGCCCCTGCTCCTGGCCATGCTGGCTGCTGTCCTGTGGGTGAACCGGCCGCAGCGGGGCCCTGGGCGAGGCCAAGTCAGCTGAGCTGGAAGAGCGCACAGCCTTGATGCCATGGAGGCCCTTGGGGAACAGAAGGATCCGGATTTCCATGAGAATGCTCTCTGCTTTTCCTAACCTGCCAGTGAGGCCTCACAGAGAGGAACGTGCCCAGTACACACGCGATGTGCCTGTAACCGCGGTGGTGTTTGGGGCACGCCTCGCACTGCGGGCCATAGCGGCTCACACAGCGCGGGAGCCCCGTCCCCTGCACAGCTCTGTGGAATTCCGGGCTCGCCACTGCTGGGTTCTGCCAGAGGAGGAAGCACACGGGATGTCCAAGGGGCGTCTCCTTCAGCCTCGTTTGCTCTTGAACTGTGCCGAGACGAGAGGACCCAGCTTCATTGCTGAGGGCGGGGATGTTCTCGCCCGCGTTGCCCCTGGGAGGGTCGTGGCTGAGCCGGTCCTTTGCAAGCTCTGTGCTCTGTGCATGAAGGCACTGAGACTCGTCTGTCCCTTCTGTCGGTGGCATCGGTCATCTTCTTCTTTGTCTTTGTGCTTCCCCCTCCTTGTTTTTGGCGACTGTTACAACATTCTTAAGGACATCCTTAAGCACATGTCCCCCTGGGTCCCTCTTGTTCGCGGCTCCTGGAGTGCAGGCGCCTCCCCAGACTCCATGGCCATGGCCGTGCTTTGCTGTGTTGCTCAGGCAGCTCCCCGCGGACACAACCCCAAAGTGTCTCCCAAAATCACCGCAGCAGCCGCCCCTCCCACCCGCCGGCCGGCCCTTCGCCCCAACCCTGTAGGCCTCTCCAGCCTCCTCCACTGAGGGCAGAAGAAATGGGATCTCTGTGTCGTCATTTGCATGTCATTTGCATTTTCATTGCACAGAGGACCCAGGAGTTGAAGCCCCTCCCACGGGTTTGTTGGCCACCTGGATCACATTGTTGTGAAATGTCTCTTCTGGTCTTCCATCTATTACTTTTTTTAAAATAAGATTTTATTTATTTATTTGACAGGTAGAGTTACAGACAATGAGAATGAGAGACAGAGAGAAAGGTCTTCCATCCGCTGGTTCACTTCTCAAATGGCTGCAGTGCCCAGAACTGGGCTGATCCAAAGCCAGGAGCCTCCTCCTGGTGTCCCATGTGGGTGCAGGGGCCCAAGCGCTTAGGCCATCTTCTACTGCTTTCCCAGGCCATAGCAGAGAGCTGGACCAGAAGTGGAGCCGCCAGGACCTGGACTGGCGCCCATACGGGATGCTGGTGTCACAGTCGGAGGATTAACCCACTGTGCCACAGCCCGGCCCCTCCGTCTATTTCTGTTGTCTGAGTTTTCCTCGGGAGTTTGCAGAAACTCTTTGCAAGTCCTTCGTTAGTCTGTGGGCTCTGAATACACTCTCCTAGTTTGTCAGCTTCATGAGATCTTTGGGAAATGGGTTTTCACTTTCCTGTAGCAAATTATTCAGTATTTTCCTTTACGGTTCATACTTTTTGCAACTGCTTAAGAAAGTATTTGTCCCCGGGGCCGGCGTTGTGGTGTAACTGCTTAGGCCACTGCCTGCCGTGCCAGCATTCCATACGGGTGTCAGGTTGAATCCTGGCTGCTCCACTTCCAATCCAACTCATGCTTATGGCCTGAGAAAGCAGTGGAGGATGGCCAAGTCCTGGTGCCTTGCATTATCCATGTGGAAGACCTGGATGAAGCTCCTGACTGCTGGCTTCAGATCGGTGCAGCTCCAGCCCTTGGGGCCACTGGAGAGTGAACCAAAGGACAGAAGACTTCTCTCTCTGTCTCTCCCTTTCAGTGAGTCTGTAACTCTATATCTCAAATAAATAATCTTAAAAAAAGAATTAGTGTTATTTAAGAAAAAGAGAAATCAAAGAAAGGCAGAGTTACAGAGAGGCAGAGAGAGACAGAGAGGTCTTCCATCTTCCATCCACTGGTTCACTCCCTAGGTGGCCCAGCAGCCAGGAACCAGGAGCTTCTTCTGGGTCTCCCATGGGAGTGCAGGGCCCAAGGACTTGGGTCATCTTCCACTGCTATCCCAGGCGCATTAGCAGGGAGCTGGATCAGAAGTAGAGCATGGCACTCAAACGTGCCCATATGGGATGCTGGCTCTGCAGGTGGCGACTTTACCTGCTACACCACAGCGCCAGCCCCCATCCATAGATCTTGAAGGAGGTCATCCATCTTGCCCACAGCCCTCGGGATGTGGTGCTGCACTAGCCTGCACCGCCGTGGGGGAGGGGTCCAGCTTCCTGCCATCCTGTCTCTGTTAGCACATTGGGCCAAAATGTGGGTCCTAGCAAATTTTTTTTGACAAGCAGAGTGGACAGTGAGAGAGAGAGACAGAGAGAAAGGTCTTCCTTTTGACGTTGGTTCACCCTCCAATGGCCGCCACGGCCGGTGCGCTGCGGCCAGCACACTGTGCTGATCCAAAGGCAGGAGCCAGGTGCTTCTCCTGGTCTCCCATGGGGTGCAGGGCCCAGCACTTGGGCCATCCTCCACTGCACTCCCTGGCCACAGCAGAGAGCTGGCCTGGAAGAGGGGCAACCGGGACAGAATCTGGCGCCCCGACCGGGACTAGAACCTGATGTGCTGGCGCCGCAAGGCAGAGGATTAGCCTATTGAGCCGAAGCGCTGGCCTCCTAGCAGCTCTTAAGAAAACTACCCCAATTATGTGGTCGTGACCTAATATGGCCATGGTGGCCCAGATGCCCAGGACGGGACGCTTGGTGAGATGGGGCTGGCCTCCACACAGGCTGCACCCAGCAGGGATCACGTTGCAGAGGGATGGTGTCTGAGGGTCCCTTGGTAGCAGGGACAGCTCAGACGTTGGGTCCACCTGACAGCCCTGGGGTGGTCTGGGCGCCTCCCTGTCTGGCTTTTCCCAGGGGTGTTGTACGCCGCGGTGGGCGAGGCCGAGGGAGGCCGCTCTCCTCTCTTTTGGCTGCGGTGTTGCAGGGAGCGTCCTCAAAGAGCCCAGGATTTCATCTCAGCCGAGGACACTGAGTCTGAGAAAGGTCACAGGTGCGAACACGGAGGGAGGGCTCACGAGTTCCCACTGATTAGCTAACACTGCCTTCTGTTCACACCCTCTCTCCCTCCTCAGTTTTGTTCAGTTACGCTGTACCCCCGCCCTAGGAGCACCATGGTCCATCAGCCATTATCAAAGAGCCCCGAGGGTCCAGGCCCCCTAGCGACCATTCTGGTCCAGCTGGTGGGGGGGACACAGCCCTTCAGTGTCATCACAGTAACTAGAGAGGATGGACGGGAATGGCCTCCACCCCTGGGGCGATCACTTCTGAAGACAGGAAGTTACATATCACAGAGGGGAGGAGGTCCCAATGAGGAGGAAACAGTGCAGTGGGCTCTGCTGGGCGTGGGTGGGGCCCTGAGACCAGCAGCTGCACGCACACCCACAGCCCTGGCCAAGCCCGGCACTGGGAGTGAGAGGAGCCAGGACTCTAAGTCCCTGCCACTTGCCATCTCTCGCTGCCTGCTGTCTCTCACTGCCTGCATCAGAACCACCTCTAGCGTCAGACCTGAGGCCGGACCAGAAAGTAGAGAGGGTGGAAGAGCCCAGTGGGGCAGTGGACACTCTGCCTCTGTGACAAGGCTCCACTTTGTTCCTGCCTGGGCCTGGCATGGCTGCCAGCGACACCTGTGCTGGAGACACGCCCTCCAGGCGCAGGGCTGTGTGGCTGTCTCCTCCCCTGCTCCTCCTGCTCATTCAAGGTGGGTGGGCCGGGCCTGGACCAGGACGGAGGGGCAGGGCTGCACGGGACGAGGGGCAAGGGTCAGCTAAGAGAGGGCGGTGGGTTGTGGAGAGAGGGCGGGAGGTTGAGGGGCTTCCAGCACCTGCTCACAGGTGACAGGTGGGCTGCAGGGCCCGATCCACGAGGTCAGGACCCCCCGCACCCACTGCAGAGTCAGCACTCAGGAAGAGGGGTGCTGTGGAAAGTTACTGGCCTGGGCCGGCGCCTGAGGTTCTCTAGGCTAATCCTCCACCTTGCGGTGCCGGCACACCAGGTTCTAGTCCTGGTTGGGGCGCCGGATTCTGTCCCGGTTGCCCCTCTTCCAGGCCAGCTCTCTGCTGTGGCCAGGGAGTGCAGTGGAGGATGGCCCAAGTGCTTGGGCCCTGCACCCCATGGGAGACCAGGAGAAGCACCTGACTCCTGCCATCGGATCAGTGGGATGCGCAGGCCCCAGCACGCCTGTCATGGCAGCCATTGGAGGGTGAACCAACGGCAAAGGAAGACCTTTCTCTCTGTCTCTCTCTCTCACTGTCCACTCTGCCTGTCAAAAACAAAACAAAACAACAACAACAACAACAACAAAACGAAAGTTACTGGCCTGATCATACAGCCTGAAATGCTGTTCGAGCACATCACACACACACGTGTGCACACACACACGTGTGCACGCACATACACACACACACAAGCTGTTTCCTGTGCCCAGCCTTCCCGGCTGTGTGGCCACTTCTGCATTCCCACCCCACCCCCAACTCCAGACTCGGGGCGGGGGCAAGCTGTTTTCCAGCGCTGGCCCTCAGCACACGTGACCCACACGTGACTGCCTGGGGAGGGCCCAGCACTCGGGCTTGTGTCTTCCAGGCTGTTTCTGTCTGAGCGGCCCCAGCACTGTGAGAGGCACCGAGGGGGGATCCCTGAGCGTGCAGTGCCGGTACGAGGAAGAACACAGGATGCGGGCCAAATTCTGGTGCCGTCACCCGTGTTTGCCAGCACAGAAGATCGTGAAGACAAAACTGCCAGAGGTAGAAGCGCGGAGCGGCCGAGTGTCCATCAGGGACCATCCTGCAAACCTCACCTTCACCGTGACCTTGGAGAACCTCAGCATCCAGGACGCGGGCACATACCAGTGTGGGGTGGATGTGCCACAGGGGTGGGACATCTTCTTCCTGGTGACGGTGCTCGTGTCCCCAGGTGAGTCCCCTCGCCCCAGCACCAGGGCTGCCTGAGGCCAGGGCTGCCCGTTCCCTCCCTAAGGAGAGCAGTGGGATGGAGGGTGAGGTTGGGCCGGTGCTCAGGACCCCCTGTGTGTGTGTCACTATCTGTGAGGGGAGAGGGAGCGCACTGGCTTCCTACCCGGTCCCACCCCCTTCTTGACATTCCACCTCACTGCCCCAAGGCCTAAGTCTTCTTGGATGACAGTGGGCGTGGCCCAGGGTCTTTGCTGCCCTCCTGTCGTGATGAGCCCCACCTCCCGTGGCCCTGTCTCCGGGAGCCTCCCTGGGGGGAACTGAACCTGAGTGCACAGCTCCCCTCCCCCCAAGGCTGCCCTGACCCTGGCCCTGCTGCCTTGCACCTGCCACCCACAATCCCAGCAGACAGCCTGGCAGCGGCCACCAGGGGGCAGCAGGGGGAGCCAGGCTCCTGGGTGGGCTTCCCCCATCCTTGCCCCAGGCTGTCCTGTGGGGGAGCCCAGACAGCCCCTGAAAGTGGCTGCTCCCCGGGGCAGGGGGTTGGGGTGGGAAGCGGGTCTGGGGCGGTCACACCCGGGGCTGCTCACGCTCCCTAATGGGACGCAGCCTGTCTGAGCGCACCCACGAGGAGCTGCGTTGCCTTCGGGGTCTGCTGACCTTGTCCTGGGCTCCTCTGCTTCCCTCCTTGCTCTCTGGCCATGGGAGGCTCCCTCTGGCCCCCGTGTGGGCTCACACTGAAGAGCAGGGAGCAGAACTCGCACTCGGGGCGCTGGGGCTGACGGGAACGCCTTCTGCCCTGCTGGCTTCCGGAGAAGCCGCTCTCCCCCACGGTCCACTCTCTCTAGATCTTTCTTCCTGGTCATTAGGCCCCTTGGAGAGGGCGGTCCAGGGACCTGCTCGGGGCCAAGGTCTGGGTAGATCCCAGGTTCCAACGTAGAGCGTGGCTCCAGCTGACTGTCCCTGCTCTTGCCTGGTCACGCCCAGGGCCTGGCCAGATGGGCCTGCAGAGTGGACATCGCCCCGGGCTTCCCTGAGAAGGAGGGGTGTGGCTGGGGCGGGCCTGGGCACCGTGTGCCTTTCCCCAGGTGCTCAGATCCCCCCGCCAAACTGAAAGAGCACACCTGGCCCTGGAGCACCTGGCCCCGGGACTGGAGAGGGGCCCAGGAGCCTGGGTCAGGCCTGGCTGTGCCACTGGACAAGTTGGCCCTGGGCCCTCCGTCCCTCCCACCCTGGGGGACCTGGTGTGTGGGAGTCAGAGCTGTGCCTGAGCGAGGGAGACCCAGGGAGGGCCCCCTGCTGACTTGTGCTTCACCCACAGCCCCGGCCACAGCCCCCAGCTACGGAGGCCCCACAATCCCAGCGATGACCCTGCCAGCACACACCGGAGAGAAGCCCCCTGAGCCCAGCCCACACCCTCGGTAAGGGGCCCGCGTCTGGGTCTGTGCCTCCTGGGGGCTTCTCCTCTGGGTGGGTGTGGCTGTGTCTCCCTCCTCCCAGCCCTGCCTGTACTCATGGTCCCACGCCTCACTGAGAAGGTCCTAGTTGGGGCGGGACCCTCTTCTCAGCCCGGACTAAGGGTGAGCACGTGGACATGGTTCTCGCTCGGCCGGGAGGTCTGACCTGCGGGGTGGAGTCCCACGGGAATGAGCTGGGAGTTGTGGTGTCTGCTGACTGTCTGGAGAGACGGCGGCACTGAAGGTGGGGGCAGTGGGCGGGGTCTGCTGAGCTGCTGTTTTGCAGCCTCGGGGAGCACATGGGTCCTGCGAGTGACCTGCAGGGTCGGGGGTCAGGCACCCGGGGCGGGAGTCCCGGGCACCCCTGTGCAGGGAGTGCCAATGCCTTGCACAGGAGCCTTCAGGGCTGGCTGGGCTGCACAGGAGCAGCTGCTGTGGGGTGGGGGCAGGGACCTGGGTGCTCTCTCCCCTCTGCTTCCCTCCGCCCCTCCACCTGGTCACCGGTGCCATCCTACTCTGACAACCCCACCTTCTGAGGCCCAGCAAACCCGAGCTGGGCCGTTCATCCCTCCTTCTCCAACCATCACGTGCCAGGCTTCCACTGCACATGCGCAGGGCAGGCCCTCGCTCCCTCCCTGAGCATAACGACACCAGCCCCTCCAACACGGGGAGTGCTGCCCTGGGAGGGGCAGACAGGAAACAAACAACACCTCGGCACTGACCGCTGCATCCCAGGAGGAGCGGGCCCCAAATGGGGCAGGCGGAGGGGGACTCCCTGGCCGCAGGACTGCCCTGGAGCCCTGCCATGGCGTTGCCTTTCCTGACGTCCACCAGGCGAAGTTCAAGGGCAAGTCTTCGGCTGGCAGTCAGAGGGCCCTGGTCCTTGGCTCAGGGCTGCCCTGTCCAGGTTTGGTCCTGTCCTGGAGTGTAGTGGACACAGGACCTGAGCCACAGGGACAGGAAGGAAGCACAGGGCAGCGGGGCCTCCCTGGGGCCAGGTGAGTCACTGTGTCACGGCGTCTCCTGCAGGTCCCTGCTCGGCAGCGTCCACGGCCTGCTGCTGGTCTTCCTGAAGCTGCCCCTGCTCCTGGCCATGCTGGCTGCTGTCCTGTGGGTGAACCGGCCGCAGCGGGGCCCTGGGCGAGGCCAAGTCAGCTGAGCTGGAAGAGCGCACAGCCTTGATGCCACGGAGGCCCTTGGGGAACAGAAGGATCCGGATTTCCATGAGAATGCTCTCTGCTTTTCCTAACCTGCCAGTGAGGCCCACACAGAAATGAACGCGCCCAGTACACACGCGATGTGCCTGTAACCGCGATGGGCTTGGGGCACGCCTCGCACTGCGGGCCACAGCAGCTCACACAGCGCGGGAGCCCCGTCCCCTGCACAGCTCTGCGGAATTCCGGGCTCGCCACTGCCTGGGTTCTGCCAGAGGAGGAAGCACATGGGATGTCCAAGGGGCGTCTCCTTCAGCCTCGTTTGCTCTTAACTGTGCCGAGACGAGAGGACCCAGCTTCATTGCTGAGGGCGGGGATGTTCTCGCCCGCGTTGCCCCTGGGAGGGTCGTGGCTGAGCCGGTCCTTTGCAAGCTCTGTGCTCTGTGCATGAAGGCACTGAGACTCGTCTGTCCCTCTGTCGGTGGCATCGGTCATCTTCTTCTTTGTCTTTGTGCTTCCCCCTCCTTGTTTTTGGCGACTGTTACAACATTCTTGAGGACATCCTTAAGCACATGCCCCCCTGGGTCCCTCGTGTTCGCGGCTTCCGGAGTGCAGGCGCCTCCCCAGACTCCATGGCCATGGCCGTGCTTTGCTGTGTTGCTCAGGCAGCTCCCCGCGGACACAACCCCAAAGTGTCTCCCAACGTCACCCCAGCAGCCGCCCCTCCCACCCGCCGGCCCTTTGCCCCAACCCTGTAGGCCTCTCCAGCCTCCTCCACTGAGGGCAGAAGAAATGGGATCTCTGTGTCGTCATTTGCATGTCATTTGCATTTTCATTGCACAGAGGACCCAGGAGTTGAAGCCCCTCCCACGGGTTTGTTGGCCACCTGGATCACATTGTTGTGAAATGTCTCTTCTGGTCTTCCATCTATTACTTTTTTTAAAATAAGATTTTATTTATTTATTTGACAGGTAGAGTTACAGACAATGAGAATGAGAGACAGAGAGAAAGGTCTTCCATCCGCTGGTTCACTTCTCAAATGGCTGCAGTGCCCAGAACTGGGCTGATCCAAAGCCAGGAGCCTCCTCCTGGTCTCCCATGCAAGTGCAGGGGCCCAAGCACTTGGGCCATCTTCTACTGCTTTCCCAGGCCATAGCAGAGAGCTGGACCAGAAGTGGAGCAGCCGGGACTAGGACTGGCGCCCATACGGGATGCTGGTGTCACAGTCGGAGGATTAACCCACTGTGCCACAGCCCGGCCCCTCCGTCTATTTCTGTTGTCTGAGTTTTCCTCAGGTGTTTGCAGAAACTCTTTGCAAGTCCTTCGTTAATCTGTGGGCTCTGAATACACTCTCCTAGTTTGTCAGCTTCATGAGATCTTTGGGAAATGGGTTTTCACTTTCCTGTAGCAAATTATTCAGTATTTTCCTTTATGGTTCATACTTTTTGCAACTGCTTAAGAAAGTATTTGTCCCTGGGGCCGGCTTTGTGGTGTAACTGCTTAGGCCACTGCCTGCCGTGCCAGCATCCCATACGGGTGTCAGGTTGAATCCTGGCTGCTCCACTTCCAATCCAGCTCATGCTTATGGCCTGAGAAAGCAGTGGAGGATGGCCAAGTCCTGGGTGCCTTGCATTATCCATGTGGAAGACCTGGATGAAGCTCCTGACTCCTGGCTTCTGCCTGGTCCAGCTCTGACCATTGCAGCCATTTGGGGAGTGAACAAGAAGAGGGAAGATCACTCTCTATCTCTTTCCCTGCTCTGTTACTCTGCCTTTCAGAAAATAAAATAAATCTTTTTTTAAAGAAATTATTGATACCCACCCCCAAAATTTAAAAATATTCCCCTACATTACCTCTAAGTGTTTTTGAGTTTCCCTTTCACATGTAATCCCTTGAGCTGCCTGTCAGTGACCTTTGTGTCTAGACTGAGGAGTGATCCACTGTCTCTCCTCTGTCTGCTTCAACATTATCCAGATTTCCCAGCTGCCCTGCAGTGGCGCTCCCGGCATCCTCTCCCTTCAGTTTCTGTGTGGATCTGTTTCTCACCTCTATTCTGATTACATTGATAACTGCCAATCAGGGAGCCTACACAACGTTGTTATCAGCACTACAGCTGGATTTTGAAATCTTGATATCTGGTAGGTCATGTTCTTTGTTATCGACTGTCTTTGCAAACATTGGCCATTTCCCTGTCTACAAAAATTTTGGAATTAGGCAAGTTTCTAAAATGGAATTTTTTAAAAAAATCTCTGTTGAAACATTGGATGTAAGTGTATCAAGTCATCATCATGATAATTTCCCTATCCATGAACATGGTAGGTAATTCCAATTATTTTTGAATTTTAAAATGTCTTTTGCTGGGGCTGGTGCCGTGGTGCAGTAGGTTAATCCTCCACCTTTGGCACCAGCATCCCATATGGGCTCCGGTTCTAGTCCCGGCTGCTCCTCTTCCCATCTAGCTCTCTGCTATGGCCTGGGAAAGCAGTAGAAGTTGGCACAAGTCCTTGGGCCTCTGCACCTGCATGGGAGACCTGGAAAAAGCTCCCGGCTCCTGGCTCCAGATTGGTGCAGCTCTGGCCATTGCAGCCATTTGAGGAATGAGCCAACAGAAGGAAGACCTCTCTCTCTGTGTCTCCCTCTCACTATCTTTAACTCTGCCTTTCAAATAAATAAATAAAATCTTAAAAACAAATGTCTTTTGCTGACATATTATTTTCTCCTTGAAACTTGCTCAGATATTTGCTCAAATTTTAATTCCGGGCCGGCGCCACGGCTCACTGGGCTAATCCTCCACCTGCGGCGCCGGCACACCGGGTTCTAGTCCCTGTCAGGGCGCCGGATTCTGTCCTGGTTGCTCCTCTTCCAGTCCAGCTCTCTGCTGTGGCCAGGGAGTGCAGAGGAGGATGGCCCAGGTGCTTGGGCCCTGCACCACATGGGAGACCAGGAGAAGCACCTGGCTCCTGGTTTTGGATCGGTGCAGTGCGCCGGCCGTAGCGGCCATTTGGGGAGTGAACCAACGGAAGGAAGACCCCCCCCCCCCATCTCTTTTACTGTCTAACTCTACCTGTCAAAGAAAAAATAAATAAATAAAGTTGCTCCTTGTGTGTGTAGATAAGTAATTGATCTTTATATGCTACTTTTAAATATGTTTCCGTATTGGTGCTAGATAGAGGTTTCTGCCTTCCCAACCCTCGCGTCCTCTGTGCTGGGCAAGCTAAGCAAATGCTGGAGCAAGGTGGGGACTTGCAGGGTCCTTGTCCTCTTCTGGGTCTTAGAGGGAGGACCTCCTGCCTTCGCAGCTTCTCAGGAAAAGTCGTGGACTTCAGAGGTGCTGTGTGTACCTGCTTATTTGACTGTGTGACTTTTCTCCTTTACGAGCGTGATGAATTATACTAAAGCAAACTCGCTCCAATTTCCCCGAGGAACGGACAGGGGGAGGCAATGACCTGGCTCACACCCAGCAGGCGAGGCCCATGCCCCAGACCCCATGCTGCTGCCCCACGCTTTCTGGGTGCTCCCAGGCCCCCCCAGGACAGGACTGAGCCCCACTCCATCCCTAAGCACCCCTGAGTGTGTCCTGAACCACAGGGCTTCCGGGGAGAGAGTCCTCTCCCATGGCAGGCTCTGGAGACCTGGAAAGAAATTGGGCAGAGTGTTCTTTGAGAATTTAGCCCTTGGGTTATGAACGAAGGTCCCAGTTCAGCGACGTCAGGCGAGGGCTAGGACCTTCCCTCTTCCGTGTGAGGGAACCCGGCAGCCTCCTTCTAACCTCTGCCCTCGGTTGATTTTATCCTGCTCTTCCATCTGGTTTGCACAGAGCTACCAACTCACTGTGCTAACTCTCCTAGGACTGTGTCCTCAGAACTTGGCGTCCTTTTCTCTCATTTAATCAACAATCATTACAAGCCGATACAGAAGCCCAGGTTCAGAGAGGTTAAGTAAGCTGTCCACGGTCACACAGCTTCTAAGTAGTGCATGCAGGGGGCCGGCGCCGTGGCTCACTAGGCTAATCCTCCGCCTTGCGGCGCTGGCACACCGCACGGGGTTCTAGTCCCGGTCGGGGCGCCGGATTCTGTCCCGGTTGCCCCTCTTCCAGGCCAGCTCTCTGCTGTGGCCAGGGAGTGCAGTGGAGGATGGCCCAAGTGCTTGGGCCCTGCACCCCATGGGAGACCAGGAGAAGCATCTGGCTCCTAGCTTTGGATAAGCTCGGTGTGCCGGCCGCAGCGCGCCAGCTACGGCAGCCATTGGAGGGTGAACCAACAGCAAAGGAAGACCTTTCTCTCTGTCTGTCTCTCTCTCTCTCACTGTCCACTCTGCCTGTCAAAAAAAAAAAAAAAAAAAGTAGTGCATGCAGGGGTCAGAGTCCGGATCAGTCCAACACCACCCACTGCAGTCTATACTTTCTTGCCCTTGGCCATGACACCTGAACAAGTGCACCTCCAGGTACACCGAGCACCTGGCACCTGAGTCGAGGACTCCCTGCATCTGGGACCCCCCTTCTAGAGCCACTTCTGGAACTGACATCCTCAGTGTTGTGCCCCTTGGACACAAGACCCAGTAGACCAGATGGCCCCTCAACCTGTCTGCAGACGGGGCTCCCCTGCACTGCCCCCTGGGAGGACACTCCTGACCTGTGACCCAGGCTTCCCAGGAAACGACGCCCCTTTTGCTGAATAACTAGAAGCAGGAAACACTCACTCTGTAAAAGGAAGTGGGTGAGGAAGAAGCTCCAAGGCGGTTTGCATGCACAGAAGGCGTGCGCCTGGGCTTGGCACCGCTGCCAGGGTCCAGCCGGGATCTGCATTTGCTGCTGCTTGTGGGTCAGACGGGCCGGGAGGGAGGAGCCGGGACCATGTGGCTGCCCCCAGCTCTGCTCCTTCTCAGCCTCCCAGGTGAGTGCACGGAGACCTGGGGGGAACCTGGTGCTGCAGGGGCAGGGCGGGAGGCAGAGGCATCTGTCTCAGGTTCAAGGGGGAGCCTGTGGCTCCTACCTTGTGCCTGGCACGCAAGGGGCCCCGAGGACAGGAGGCTCTGGAGAAATCGGGCTGCCACGATCAAAGACGTCCGGTGGCTTAGTGGTGAAATGTCCATGCTGACAGCGATTGACGGCAGCACCCGAGGCACTGGCCGAGGTGTGTGTGTGCTCAGAGCTCAACACAGCTCCGGCTCGGGGAGCCGGAGGACGCCTCCCGCAGACGTCCATGGACGGGCCTTGGAGGAAGGCAGGCGGCGCTCCCTGCGGAGCAGAGAGAGGAGCGCTCCAGGGAGCAGGTGCTGCGTGTGCGTAGGAGCCGGGGCCTGGGAAGGGCGGTGCCTGCAGGCCGAGGGGGCTCCGGGCACGCTGGATGCCTTGCCCGGGCTGACTGGCCTGAGCTTGGAAATGCAGAAGACAGATTGTGGAGGACCTCAGCCCAGGACGGAGACTTTCAGGGGGAGGAAATCGCCCAGCGGCCCAGGTGGGCCACGGACGGAGGAGGGGCTGGACAGTCTCTCCGTGGGGAAATCTGTGGACACCCAGAAGACATAGGGAGCAGTCTAGAAGCCTGTGCCCTGTGTGCCCCATGTGCCGGTCGCACAGTCCTCTCTGGGGCCTGGCCCCTGACCATGTGACACAGACAGACTGGGCATGGCCAGGGAGTTCTGAGGCCCGAGTTCCAGTCCCAGCCAGGGCATCTGGTCCCAGCAAGGCCCTTACTGCCCCAAGACCCGGATTTCTGTGTGATTTCTGGGTTCCCGGGTCTGACGGTGTAGAACTCCGGAATTCGCGTCAGATGCGAGGCTGGGGGCATTCCCTGAACCGCTGCTCCTGGGCTTGGTGTTTGTCACCGCTGAGGCCCAGGGAGGGGTCAGGGGGCCTGCCCAAGGGCAGCGGCCAGATTAATGAAGCAGAGGGACAGCCATTCAGACGGGGGCACACCCCCGGCCCAGGTTGCACTTGCATTAGGGAACCACAGCTGAGCCCTGAGCCGTTTCTGCTGCCTCCCAAGGTCTGCATTAGCAGGAAGTTGGAATCGGGGCGGAGCCAGGACTCAAACCCAAGCGCTCTGTTGGGATGTAGGCGCCCCAGTCACTCTGCCAAATGCCTGCCCCGGGCACCCTGCTTTTATCCAACTGATAACATAGCTAGGACGTCCTTCCTTCCTGGGGTTTCTCGTTCCTTCTAGTAACGTCGCGGCTGGACCATGAGGCATCAGCCTGATCCCCACTAGTAGCATCTGAGTTTGTTTTCGATGATAACTGTTTCATCAGTACTACAACCAACATCCTTTTAAACAATATTTATTTATTTGAAAGGTAGAGTTATATATAGAGAGAGGCAGAGAGAGAGGTCTTCCATCCACTGGTTCACTCCCCAAGTAGCTACAATGGCCAGGGCTGGGCCACACTGAAGCCAGGAGTTTCATCCGAGTCTCCCAAGAGGATGCAGGGGCCCAAGCACTTGGGTCATCTTTCCCAGGTGCATGAACAGGGAGCTGGATCAGAAATGGAGCTGCCAGGACTCGAACTGGTGCCCCTATGGGATGCCGGTGCTGCAGGTGGAGGCTTGACCCATTGTGCCACAATGCCAGCCCCCACTAACATCCTTATGCCTGGTTGTTCATTGGTGTGGAGATGATAGCTAATCCCAGAACTGAAATGATCAAGCCCAAGGTCACGACCGGCTGCTTCTAATAAACAGTCATTAACTTAGTACCAACCTGAGCCAGGCCTGAGCGAGTCACGCAGGCTGGGGCTGGAGGAAAGAGAGGGGCAAAGGCAGGGCAGGCAGAGAGTGCCCTGGCCGGGGAGACAGCGGGAGACAGCTGACGGCAGCAAAGCTCGAGGACGGGGAGCCACCGGGGAGGCAGGTCTGGCTGGGACCGGCAGGAAGACTTCCCGAAGAAGCCGGGGCCTCAAGGGGGTGAGTGAGCAGGGGCCGGGCGGAAGGGCAGGCAGCGGTCGAGGGTAGTGGTGGAGGAAGTGCACCAGCCTGCGAGGGCTCCTCAGGGTCAGCGAGAGCGCGGCGGGTGTCACAGGGCTGGGTCCTGGGTGTCACAGGGCTGGGTCCCCCCGGGCGGGGCGCGCGGGGCAGAGTCTGTTCCCTGGCCTTTTCAGGGCCTGGGGACCCGTCCTCCATCTTGGAAGCCAGGCATGTAGCATCTTCAAATCTAAGCCAAGTCCGCAGCGGGGAACGAGGAGGGGCAGGGCTGCATGGGGACATGGGGTCCGGATGAGTACAAGGTCAATGTCAAGCCAGAGCTTTGAGGGCTTTTGAGTGGCTGCCAGGGAGGTCTGAGGATGGGGAGGTTCCCTGGACGAGCTGAGGGTGGGGGTGGGGAGTCTCCCCCAGCGACAGGGAGGGGGAGTGGAGAGGGGGTGCAGCCGGAGCCGGGGCAAGTTCCCCGCACGCGCCTGCCAGGGCCCAGGCGGCCGCTGAGGACCTGACCCCCGTAGTTTTGCACACTCATGCCAGTCTCACAACAACGTGCAGGGGTGGAAGGCAGCGTGGCCGTCTTTCAGAGAAGTGAGGCCCGCAGAGGTGATGTAACTCACCAGGTTTCCCAACAGCCCGTGGGCGAGGCGTCTTCCTGGACCAAACAAAGCTCTCTCCCTCTGCTGCGTCACGCCGTCCTCAGCCGGGCTGGGAGGGGGCAGTGCGAAAGGGCAGCATTGCCAAGTGAAGTGGACCAAGCGGGTTGGCAGGCAGCGGCCCGGTGTGAAGGAGACGCCAGGCTGGCGGGGCAGGGCGGGGGGTCCCCAGCGCACTTGTCTGTGAGGAGCCGAAGCTGGCGCTGTTGAGGGAATGTGGCAGAATTTCCCGGGGCTGCCGTCGCAGGCGGTGCCCAAGTCGGTGCCTTAGAGCAGCGGCAGTGTCCAGCAGACCAGGAGTCTGAAATGACCGTCCTGGCCGAAATCCGGGGCAGGCAGGGCTGCGTTCTTCTGGAGGCGCAGGGGAGAACCTTGCTCTCTCCAGGGTCTAGCGGTCACCTGCTCTCCTTGGCCCGGGGCCCCTTCCTCTGTCTTCCAAGCCAACCGCAGGGTCCTCAGAACTACTTCCCTTCCAATCCTCCAGGACAACCCGGGACAACCTCCTCATCTCAGGGTCCTCGACTTCGTCCCATCTGCCAAGCCCCCTGGGCCCTGTAAGAGCCCCTGCCCTCAGGTCCTCCCTGTAACCTTGAAGGTGGACCTGACGCTGCCAGCCACACACGCAAACTGAGTCAGCTCAAAGAGCATCGGGGCACAGCCGAGCTCTGCGGAGCGGGCGCCTGCCCGGTGCTAGAGTGGACTCCCTCCGCCCTGCAGAGACCCGGGGGCTGGACCTGATGCTGAGGTCAAGGGTCGAGAGAGGCTGCCCTCAGCTCCACTTCCATGCGATTAGGGAACCAGAGATCTTTCCCCAGGAGGCGCATCGTGCACATCCCTAGCTTGCCCGGAGTCCATAGGCGCACGCTTGCCTCCAGCTGTCCCGCTCCTGTCTGGTCCTGCCCACACCAAGTCCCCGTAAGAGAGAGAGGAAATGCTGAAGCGGAGTAGAGGGCAGGCTGGGAGAGGCAGCCCCGCAGGCTGTGCCTGTGGGATTGGGAGGCGGCACACCTGTGGGATTGAGAGGAGAACACCTGTGGGATTTGAGGGGGCACACCTGTGGGATTGGGAGGGGGCACACCTGTGGGATTGGGAGGGGGCACACCTGTGGGATTGGGAGGGGGCACACCTGTGGGAATGGGAGGGGGCACACCTGTGGGATTGGGAGGGGCACACCTGTGGGATTGGGAGGGGGCAGACCTGTGGGATTGGGAGGGGCACACCTGTGGGATTGGGAGGGGCACACCTGTGGGATTGGGAGGAGAGGCACACCTGTGGGATTGGGAGGAGGCACACCTGTGGGATTGGGAGGGGGCAGACCTGTGGGATTGGGAGGGGGCACACATGTGGGGTTGGGAGGGGGCACACCTGTGGGGTTGGGAGGGGGCCAGACCTGTGGGATTGGGAGGGGGCACACCTGTGGGAATGGGAGGGGGCACACCTGTGGGATTGGGAGGGGGCACACCTGTGGGATTGGGAGGGGGCACACCTGTGGGAATGGGAGGGGACACACCTGTGGGATTGGGAGGGGCACACCTGTGGGATTGGGAGGGGGCACACCTGTGGGAATGGGAGGGGGCACACCTGTGGGATTGGGAGGGGGCACACCTGTGGGATTGGGAGCGGGCACACCTGTGGGATTGGGAGGGGGCACACCTGTGGGATTGGGAGGGGGCACACCTGTGGGAATGGGAGGGGGCACACCTGTGGGATTGGGAGGGGGCACACCTGTGGGATTGGGAGGGGGCACACCTGTGGGATTGGGAGGAGAGGCACACCTGTGGGATTGGGAGGAGGCACACCTGTGGGATTGGGAGGGGGCAGACCTGTGGGGTTGGGAGGGGGCACACCTGTGGGGTTGGGAGGGGGCACACCTGTGGGGTTGGGAGGGGGCAGACCTGTGGGATTGGGAGGGGGCACACCTGTGGGAATGGGAGGGGGCACACCTGTGGGATTGGGAGGGGGCACACCTGTGGGATTGGGAGGGGGCACACCTGTGGGATTGGGAGGGGGCACACCTGTGGGAATGGGAGGGGGCACACCTGTGGGATTGGGAGGGGGCACACCTGTGGGATTGGGAGGGGGCACACCTGTGGGATTGGGAGGGGGCACACCTGTGGGATTGGGAGCGGGCACACCTGTGGGATTGGGAGGGGGCACACCTGTGGGATTGGGAGGGGGCACACCTGTGGGATTGGGAGGGGCACAACTGTGGGATTGGGAGGAGGCACACCTGTGGGGTTGGGAGGGGGCACACCTGTGGGGTTGGGAGGAGGCACACCTGTGGGATTGGGAGGAGAGGCACACCTGTGGGGTTGGGAGGGGGCACACCTGTGGGGTTGGGAGGGGGCACACCTGTGGGATTGGGAGGGGGCAGACCTGTGGGATTGGGAGGGGGCACACCTGTGGGGTTGGGAGGGGGCACACCTGTGGGGTTGGGAGGGGGCACACCTGTGGGATTGGGAGGGGGCACACCTGTGGGATTGGGAGGAGGCACACCTGTGGGATTGAGAGGAGAACACCTGTGGGACTGGGAGGGGGCACACCTGTGGGATTGGGAGGGGCACACCTGTGGGATTGGGAGGGGGCACACCTGTGGGATTGGGAGGGGCACACCTGTGGGATTGGGAGGAGGCACACCTGTGGGGTTGGGAGGGGGCACACCTGTGGGGTTGGGAGGAGGCACACCTGTGGGGTTGGGAGGAGAGGCACACCTGTGGGGTTGGGAGGGGGCACACCTGTGGGATTGGGAGGGGGCACACCTGTGGGATTGGGAGGGGGCAGACCTGTGGGATTGGGAGGGGCACACCTGTGGGATTGGGAGGGGGCACACCTGTGGGACTGGGAGGGGGCACACCCTTGGGGTTGGGAGGGGGCACACCTGTGGGATTGGGAGGGGGCACACCTGTGGGATTGGGAGGGGGCACACCTGTGGGGTTGGGAGGGGGCACACCTGTGGGATTGGGAGGGGGCACACCTGTGGGATTGGGAGGGGGCACACCTGTGGGACTGGGAGGGGGCACACCTGTGGGACTGGGAGGGGGCACACCTGAGGGATTGGGAGGGGCACACCTGTGGGGTTGGGAGGGGGCACACCTGTGGGACTGGGAGGGGGCACACCTGAGGGATTGGGAGGGGCACACCTGTGGGGTTGGGAGGGGGCACACCTGTGGGGTTGGGAGGGGGCACACCTGTGGGATTGGGAGGGGGCACACCTGTGGGATTGGGAGGGGCACACCTGTGGGGTTGGGAGGGGGCACACCTGTGGGACTGGGAGGGGGCACACCTGTGGGGTTGGGAGGGGGCACACCTGTGGGACTGGGAGGGGGCACACCTGTGGGGTTGGGAGGGGGCACACCTGTGGGATTGGGAGGGGGCACACCTGTGGGATTGGGAGGGGGCACACCTGTGGGACTGGGAGGGGGCACACCTGTGGGACTGGGAGGGGGCACACCTGAGGGATTGGGAGGGGCACACCTGTGGGGTTGGGAGGGGGCACACCTGTGGGACTGGGAGGGGGCACACCTGTGGGACTGGGAGGGGGCACACCTGTGGGATTGGGAGGGGCACACCTGTGGGGTTGGGAGGGGGCACACCTGTGGGGTTGGGAGGGGGCACATCTGTGGGATTAGGAGGAGGCACACCTGTGGGATTGGGAGGAGGCACACCTGTGGGATTGGGAGCAGGCACACCTGTGGGATTGGGAGGGGCACACCTGTGGGATTGGGAGGGGGCACACCTGTGGGAATGGGAGGGGGCACACCTGTGGGATTGGGAGGGGGCACACCTGTGGGATTGGAGGGGGCACACCTGTGGGAATGGGAGGGGGCACACCTGTGGGGTTGGGAGGGGGCACACCTGTGGGATTGGGAGGGGGCACACCTGTGGGGTTGGGAGGGGGCAGACCTGTGGGATTGGGAGGGGGCACACCTGTGGGGTTGGGAGGGGGCACACCTGTGGGACTGGGAGGGGGCACACCTGTGGGGTTGGGAGGGGGCACACCTGTGGGATTGGGAGGGGGCACACCTGTGGGGTTGGGAGGGGGCACACCTGTGGGACTGGGAGGGGGCACACCTGTGGGATTGGGAGGGGCACACCTGTGGGTTGGGAGGGGGCACACCTGTGGGGTTGGGAGGGGGCACACCTGTGGGATTAGGACGAGGCACACCTGTGGGATTGGGAGGAGGCACACCTGTGGGGTTGGGAGGGGCACACCTGTGGGATTGGGAGGGGGCACACCTGTGGGGTTGGGAGGGGGCACACCTGTGGGATTGGGAGGAGGCACACCTGTGGGATTGGGAGGGGGCACACCTGTGGGGTTGGGAGGGGGCACACCTGTGGGGTTGGGAGGGGGCACACCTGTGGGATTGGGAGGAGAGGCACACCTGTGGGATTGGGAGGAGAGACACACCTGTGGGGTTGGGAGGAGGCACACCTGTGGGGTTGGGAGGGGGCACACCTGTGGGGTTGGGAGGGGGCACACCCCATGTGTTTGGGTGCAGGTGGGGGCTGGAGCTGAGGGGAACATCTGAGCTATAAAAGCAGACTTGGCAATCATCGGGATTTCCGCAACAACTGAAGCTGTGGGAGTGGAGGGGACCCCTCTGTGGGGCAGATAGAGCGGGACTGGACTCAGCTGGAGGGGGAGCCTCCCGGTGCCCCCCGGGGTGTGCTGGGGGCGGCTCACGCCAGCTCACAAGAGTGGCTTTGGGCACCTCTTCTAGTCCTGTGCGCCCAGTAGCAACCCCTGGACAGCCTGGCGTCGGCCGCAGGGGGAGGATTCTCGCCAGAGGCAGCAGCAAACGTTAATGAGGCAGCGTGTTGCTCCATGTTGACCCACACAGCACCGCTTCCCGCAGACTTAGGGAGAAGCTAAGAGACAGGGAGCTCGGCCGGCGCCGCGGCTCACTAGGCTAATCCTCCGCCTTGCGGCGCCGGCACACCGGGTTCTAGTCCCGGTCGGGGCACCGGATTCTGTCCTGGTTGCCCCTCTTCCAGGCCAGCCCTCTGCTGTGGCCAGGGAGTGCAGTGGAGGATGGCCCAGGTGCTTGGGCCCTGCATCCCATGGGAGACCAGGAAAAGCACCTGGCTCCTGGCTCCTGCCATCAGATCGGCGGGGTGCGCCGGCCGCAGCGCGCCGACCGCGGCGGCCATTGGAGGGTGAACCAACGGCAAAAGGAAGACCTTTCTCTCTGTCTGTCTCTCTCTCTCTCACTGTCCACTCTGCCTGTCAAAAAAAAAAAAAAAGAGAGACAGGGAGCTGATTGAGACTTTGGGGGCAGAAAAGTCAAAAAAGGAGAAGATCGGATGAGGAGGGCATCTGGGAAGAGAGCGGCACCAAGTCGGGGGTGCCTCGTGCTGCGAGCAGGCGCGGGGAGCCAAGGCCAGGCCAGCCTGCGGCACAGCTCACGGGGCTGCCCGGGAGGCAGGCGCGGTGGCCCCGTGGGGCCTGGCTCCCAGCAGCAGCGGCTGCATCTCGAGTTCTGCTTTCCAGGCTGCTTCTTCATCCAGGGCCCGGGGACAGTGACCGCAGTGGAGCAGGGGTCGATGACGGTGCAGTGTCACTACCGCCCAGGCTGGGAGAGCTACAGCAAGTGGTGGTGCCGAGGCCGGATCTGGAGCTTCTGCCAGGTGCTTGTCCAGACCAGCGGGACGGAGCAGGAAGAGAGGAGCGGCCGCGTGTCCATCAGGGACAATCACAGAGACCGCTCCATCACGGTGACCATGGAAGGGCTCAGGCAGGACGACGCAGACACTTACTGGTGTGGCATTAAGAGAGTCGGGACCGACCGCGGGACACGAGTGATGGTGACCATTGACCCAGGTGAGAACTCTCTGTCCCATAAGGGTCAGGGGCTCAGGACCCCCAAGGGCTGAAGGGAGATGGCTGGGAGCCCAGCACATGGACGGACGGAAGGACGGACAGACGGCTGGGGAGGGAAATGGGAAGCCAAGCGCCTCCATCCCTATCGCGGTCCCTCCCAGGTGTCCTGCTGGCACACAGCAGGGCTGGCAGGGTGCGGGGAGGTGAGCATCAGTGACCTATGGCCTGGGCCTGCTCTCCTGGGGCCGGGCAGCCCTGTAGCCCCACATTCTCTCACCAGAGCACCAGGTGGGCTCAGACACCTGCACAGAGTCCCAGGGCATCATGCCAGGAGGAGGCCAGTTCCCAGGGCCGTGGGGGGCCTGCGGCAGCCCGGAATGTTCCAGTGTTGAATCCAGGAACTCGGCCAACCTGGAGTGACCCTCAGCCCCCTCCTCTCTGGGACCCCAGTGCCTCCCTCCACCCCCTCCCCCTCCCCACTTTCTCTGCCTGCAGAAGAATCGAGCAAGGGGTAAGAGAGGCCAGGAGGTGCCCGGATGACAGAAGCTTTGAAGAGCAGGGAAGGCTTCTACCACGAGGCCAATACTGGGGTCTGTCTGGCTGCTGCTGACTTCTCATCAAGGGGCTCCGGGTCCTGTGCTGTCGCTGGAAGCTGATAAGCAGCCCCTTCTCAGCCCGAGCGCCCTCGGGCTCGCTGGGTGGTGCCCGGCGCCCTGATAAGCCGTGTATTGTCAGGGTTGGACCCAAGAGGGCCACAGGGGCTGCAGTGGGGCCGGGAAGGTTCTCCCAAGCTCTGCAATTTTCCAGAGCCACCACGCAGGGGAAGCTGAGATCTGTGGGGGCAGAAAGGGGACTGAGTAAACCTGTGAGCAGGGGGCAGAGGGGCTGAAAACGGCCCCGTGTGGAGCTTCAGGGTGACGGGCATTTGGGGGTCTTGGGCAGGGAACCGAAGCGGGCACCAGATGGCAGGGTCATCAGGGCCCTGGGACCTCAGAGGAGGAATTCGCAGCTGGTCTCGGGGTTCCAGGTGCCGTTTGTGCCCCGTAAATTGCCGGCATCAAAAGGCTTCATTCTGCCCAGCCCTGGCTCCCTCTTTAACTAGGACATGCTCCCCAAACCACAGGACTCCGGAGTCCCCACCTCCCTGACCGCCCTAAAGACCAGATACCCTGCTTCTAGAACCTTCTGTTCTGGAGCTCCGCCCAGGCACCGCCCCTCATCCGACTGACCCACTCACAGGGATGAGTGGAAAGAGAACGGGAAAGGTGGCTCCCTGGCCCCCGGAATAAACCACAGAGCTTTCTCCTACTTGGTATTCTTTCCTTCTTGTGCACCTGAATGTGATGGGGCAGTGACCGTGTGTTAGAGAAGCCCCAGGGGCTGTACCCAAGAGGCGAAGCTTCCTAACCCAGGGGGCGAGGGCTGTCTTGGAGAGGGTGGGCATGGCGGGGGTGGCAGTGGGAGCCACACACAGATCCCCAGCCTTTGCCAATGACCTGTGGCTGACTTTGCCCGTGTCTAGTGGGAAGCACCAACCTGCCAGCAATCCCGTCTACCAAATCCCCGGCCAGGCCAACTGCCACCAGCAACATGGGGCCAGCCTCTGGCTCCTATAACAGGTGAGTCACAAGGGTCCTTCTTCCTGCCCCTCTCGGGGCCCCTGCTGTGGGGAAGCCAGGCCTGGGCACCTCTCCCGGCTGTGTTCTGTCACCAGTTGTCAGTGCTTGTTACCGCCAAAGCCGAGGCCCCGGGACCACCCTCGTCTCACTGCTGCACCTGTTACGCCTCACCCCCCACCCCCCATTCAGCCCGCCCCAGAAAACAACTCTGCAGAGCCTCCTCTGGCCCCTCACCTACCCACCCAAGTGTGAGCAGGGAAACATTGGTGACCTTGTGAGCACCAGGGGTGGACAGGAGGCACCAGCTCCCTGGTGCAAGACACAAGGGATGCAGAGCAGGAGCGGTGGGTGACCAACGTGGGGCGGGCCTTCCCGGGAACAGAGTTGGGCAGATGGCCTGTGTGGTGAGCTCCAGGTGCCTCTATCGGGCAGAGGGGAACTCCAGAAGGTACCCAGGACCAGGTCAGCTGCGGGTACTACCCGAGGAGCCCTCGGGAGTGGATGGCAGAAGGGGCCCATGGGGTCTCTGCAGAGAGGGGCGGCTGGGGTCTCTGAGTGCCCAGGGCCGGGAGTGACGGGGCTCTGACAGCCGCATCGCCTCTTACAGGGGCCACTATCTGCTCCTGGTGTTTGTGAAGGTGCCCATCCTGCTCGTCTTGGCCAGCATTGTCCTCTGGCTGAAGGGCTCCCGGAGGGTCTCAGTGGAGCTGCGGACCCTGGCTGCCCTTGGGAATACACGCTCTCCGCTGTCCACTGACCACGCAAGCCCTTAGGTGGACACAGAGCAGAGCCTGCCCGCCCGGAAGCCCAGGTCCAGAGCAGTCGCCCTGAGTCCTGGGGGTGTGATGACCAAGGTCAGGGTCGTGGGTGCTGGCTGTGCACTTTCCTGTCCCGCCCAGCAGGGGACGCTGCTCTGGCCCCTCCTGGGGCACCATGGGCAGCTGGAGCACTTGCACTGCGCTCCCTCTTCCTCAGCGTTGAGGGCTGGGTTCGTGGCCAGGAGCCGCTGGGATGGAGTCCAAACTGTGGCCAAGAAGGCAACCAGACAGCTGGACAGCCAACATCTGGGCAGCTGGACCACTGGACAGCTGCGTTCCCCTGCCCCCGCCAGACTAACTTGGCGCAGAACCTGGGTCAGAGCGCAGGGAGACAGAGAAGAAGACCTGTCCACTCCGTGTTTTCCATCATCGCTGAAGCCAGCTCACTGCTTCTGCCAGAGCACCTGACATGGAGGTCTTTTTCAGCTACTCAAGTTGAGTCTGAAGCTCATGTCCACCCAAGAGTGAACCTGTTCTGCCAGAGGCTGAGTCCCTGGCATGGGATGTCTCCCGGGTGGGGGGTATCTCTGCTATGAGCCCCCAGGGCTGATGAGGGCTCAGGCCAGAGCTCGGCTCCCTCCCCCTCCTTCTCCTCCCTCCTCCCTCCTGGCTCCCAGGCCCCCTGCCCCTTTCTTATCCCAGGGGCTGGGGCTTCCTGGAGGCTGCAGCCTGGGGGTCAGCACAGCCTGCCCTCAGCACAGCCGCCCCTCCCCGCAGGCCCTGGTGCACCCCAAGAGCCCTCTCACGGTAGGACAGTGTCCCGACAGCCGGCATGCGGAAGTCACACAGCTCTCTAAAGTGCCAAGGTTGAGATCAACCCGGCGATTAAAACCGTGCACAGGAAGTGACCCCTCTGCCAAACACCTCCCCACAGCAAAGATGTCCTTGGACGCTGTCATTCTGGGCCATAGGAGTCAAAGGAGCTCGAGCGAGTGTGGCGTGAAACAGTAGCCCCGCCCCAGACACGCACGCACACTCGTGTCCAGGCCACGTGGGACCAGGCCAGCCCGCCTGGGGCCTAAGAAACCAGCCCCGTGCTCAGCGTGAGGAGATGGAGGTGAGGGCGTCTCCCGCCCCCAGCCTGGTCCCTGAAGCCGCCCCTGCCTGCTGGGACCTCTGTAATCCACCTGCTGTCAATCAGCCCTCCGACTTTGAACTTGGCTGAGGGCTCGGGCCAACTCGGGACTGAAGATCCCACAGTGTCCAGAAAGGTGGGCATTTAAGGCCAACTGAGAGCCTCAGGGTCACTCAGTTGGGGGCCAAGTTCGCGCGTCCACCAGAAGCAGCGGCCCTGCCGCGGGACTGTGCCCCGGATGCCGCCTCCAGCACCACACGGCGGCTGCCCACGCCTATCTCACGGTTCCTCTTCTCCGTGGAGATTGTGTGGCTGGGCTGGCGCTCTCGCCACTTCCCTGGAGGAGCGTGGGCATCTGTGGGCTGCCTGGCCCCAGTGCCAGTCCCACCCCCACTCCTGGCTCCCCCTCCCCCGTCGCACTTCCGGGAAGCAGCCCCTTGGGGTTCTGATGAAATCGGAGGAGCTCAGCTTGCCTGACACGCCCACCCGCAAAAAAACGTAAGGCACCATAGGCCAGGCAGACTCAGCTCGCTGACCCCACAACCCAGAGCGGTCAGGTAGGGAAGTGGAGGGAGCAGGTGCGGTGCTCGGTGAAGGGGAGAGCAAGGCTTCTCCTTCTGCAGGGGTCTGCTGTTCTGAGCACCTGCTGGGCCATGGAGGAGAGAGAGCAGAGCCGGGAGAAGCCGGTCAGGGCCGGAGCCAGAGCCAGCAGCACCCGGCCAGGAGAAGGGTGACAGTGGCAGTGGGGGGAGGGGAGGTCCCCACCGGGGCCTGAGACACGAGGAGTTCTTTTTAAAATTGTGTTTTAAAATGCCTAACACAAAATGTGTCCCACTGACAAGCTTTCCAGGGCAACCATGGCTATGATATAATAAATACAACGTGACGACGCAGCGGATTTCTGGGGTGTTCTTGTGTTGCTGTATGATGTTGCAAAGCGGTCCCCCCCCGCCCCCGCCCCCAGCTCCTCCCATGTTGCTTCGTGCCCCTGTGAGTGTGAGTGTGATTCTGTTGGCTGCCTTCTGTGGGCAGAGCCACCAAGGGCCACCAAGGGCTAGTCCTGCTGAATCTGCCTGATCTCACCCGGCGTCCACCATGGGAGTCCGCGGTAGCGTTGCCTTCCTGCTCAAGGCTGAATAACATCCCGCCGGGTGTGTGCACCGCCGACTCTTCATCCCTTCCTCCCCTGGTGGCCACCTGGCTCGCTTCTGCCTCTCGGCTATGTGGGTAACGCGGAAGGCGCGTCGCCCTCCTGTTTCCCGTGTCTCTGGCTAAATCCCCACCAGGGGGGTGGTCAGGCCGTAGAGAAATCTGCTTTTTGTTTTTTGAGTCAGCTCCAGGCTGTGCCATTTTCCATTCCCACGGCAGGGCGCCAGGGTCCCGCTTCCTCCACATTGTCAACAGCGCTGGTGGCTTCCTGCTTTTTTTTTTGAACTACTACCCCAGCGGATGTGCGGGGATGCCTCTTTGTGTTTTTTTTTTTATTTTTTTATTTATTTTTTTATTTTTTTGACAGGCAGAGTGGACAGTGAGAGAGAGAGACAGAGAGAAAGGTCTTCCTTTGCCGTTGGTTCACCCTCCAATGGCCGCCGTGGCCAGCACGCTGCGGCCGGCGCACCGCGCTGATCCGATGGCAGGAGCCAGGAGCCAGGTGCTTTTCCTGGTCTCCCATGGGGTGCAGGGCCCAAGCACCTGGGCCATCCTCCACTGCACTCCCTGGCCACAGAAGAGGGCTGGCCTGGAAGAGGGGCAACCGGGACAGAATCCGGTGCCCCGACCGGGACTAGAACCCGGTGTGCCGGCGCCGCTAGGCGGAGGATTAGCCTAGTGAGCCGCGGCGCCGGCCGCCTCTTTGTGGTTTTAATTTGCATTTCCCTGATCATTCGTGATGCCGAGCGTCCTTTCCTACTTTCTGTTTGAGTGTCTTCAGAGAAATGCCGACTCCACTCCTTCGCCCACTTTTAAATCGCACCGCCCAACTTCTTTTCTTGGTGAGTTTTAATTTTTTTTGACAAGCAGAGTTAGACAGTGAGAGAGAGAGACAGAGAGAAAAATCTTCCCTCCCTTGGTTCACCCCCCAAATGGCCACCACGGCCGGCGTGCTGCACCCATCTGAAGGCAGGAGCCAAGTGCTTCCTCCTGGTCTCCCATGCGGGTGCAGGGCCCAAGGACCTGGGCCATCCTCCACTGCCCTCCCTGGCCACAGCAGAGAGCTGGCCTGGAAGAGGGGCAACCGGGACAGAATCCGGCGCCCCGACCGGGACTAGAACCCGGTGTGCCAGCGCCACAAGGGAGAGGATTAGCCTACTGAGCCACACAGCGCTAGTGTCCTTTTTATTTGTAAAGATTTATTTATTTATTTGAAAGAGTTAGATAGAGAGGGAGGGAGTGGGGGAGGGAGGGAGAGAGAGAGAGAGAGAGAGAGAGCGCGAGATCTCCCATCTTCTGGTTCACTCCCCAGAGGGGTGCAAGGGCCAGCACTGGTCCAGGCTGAAGCCTGGAGTTAGGAGCC